ATAAAATCCCCGACACGTACCACAATCAGATTTTATGTGTACATTATGTGACCATGTTTAGTCAAATGCTTTACTTGTCTTATGTCTTGTCTCAGACGAGGAGGACGAGACCTCTGCAGTCAGTGGAGGTCACAGACTACCAAGGAGCCTCGGTGAGCAAAGCCCCCCCCCCCCTTTCCTCTTTGTTCCTCCTCAGTTATTTACCAGTGTCTTGTTCTGCTCACAGTGTTTATTGTATATCATGAAGGACAGAGACATTGCTGCTATTACTCTCACATTGTTTCTTTAAAATAAAAATAACCATCGTGGCGTGGCTGAGTTTATTCGGATGAATGTGTTCTTATCCCCAGAACTAGATAAATAGACGGTTGTAGTGACGGAGCCGAGGATTCCTGATTTTCCTCATCACACTCTATCATCATTAACAAAGGGCAGCGTTTCTCAGAGTTGATTTATGTGACAAGTATGTTTTTTTTTTTGTGACACGGTGAAATTCTTCCCATTAAAGCTCACGATAAAGCAGATGTCTAAATTTCCAGACATCCATCTACAACAGTGTGGCTGACATCGGAGGATTATCTTTAATTACATGAAGAAAACTGTCTCACATCACACACACAAGTTTTATTTCATAACCCAGCTGCTTGTATCTGGCAGTAACAAGCTGTATTGCATGTTGTGTTGCTGATGCAGGATAGATTTTATTTTCATTTGAGCTGCATAAGTCATTGACGCTATTGCATGAACCCGAGCTCCCCGTCATACTTACACACAAAAATCTAATCTGGTCCCTCAGATGCCCAACCGGCCCAGCAGGCTCTGTGTAAAATACGTACAGAGGTGGTTGAGGTTACCAGGGCCATGTTGGATCGTAGCAATGCTAACTTCATGTTATGGCCACCATGCGTCGAGGTGCAGCGCTGCTCCGGCTGCTGCAACACCAAGAGCCTGCACTGTGTCCCTTTCGTCACGCACACCAGACACTTGCAGGTAGACGACCGCGGGCACAGATTTTCATTGTACATACATGCGCTGTGTTTTTATTATACTGCTAATCATCCCTCTTCCTCCTGACCTCCTCCTGCAGGTGATGAAGATCGAATACATTAATAAAAGACCCACTTACACTAAAGCAGTGGTGTCCGTGGTGGATCATGTGGAGTGCCGATGTCAGCCTGCGCCACGCGCCCCAGCGCCCAGGAGAAAATCATCGCGCAGGCAACACGGCCACCAACATCGAAACCAGACACTCAGCCAAGAACACGGACAGGTACAGAGTTAACGCTCTCTTTTAACTCTTAATTCAAACCTCAGCACAGACTTGTTGACTTGAATTAATAGTTTCTCTGGCAAGATTTTCCTTTGAAAGAAAATTTTCCAGACACAAACTATAGCCCAATAATCCAAATTACATTTTCTTGAATCTTATTGTCAAAGGTGAAGATGCCCTCCAAGGATGAGCTCCATCAGTGGGATGAGTTGAAGCAGAACCAGAGGGCCCATCTGGAGGAGCTGCTGGAGCAGCACTGGAGCCCCAGAGGAGACACCTTCACTCAGCCTGGAGAAGGGTACAGTCTGGCTGGGGACGACATGTCTCGGTCTACTGGAGAGGCTGTTCTCTTGTCCCCACACTGGACACATAACTCCAGCAGGCTCCACGGGACCAAAGACCGATCTGAGAACCCAGAGAACCTGGAGAGGGAGCTGGGTAGGATCGCAGATGGCAACAAGACAGTTTCCTCAGTGGATAACGTTGGTGTTGAGGTAAAGAACAAGTCGGTAGAAGGTGGGAGTCGGTCACTGCTCAACAGTACTGAGGGAAAAGTAAATGAGGGAAACGGGAGCAGAKACAAAGGAACACAAACGCAAGTCCCATTATTGCAAGAAGACAAATCCAAATTTACAAAGAATCACAGGGGTGGCGTCTCACAACCTGTTACTGAAAACCCTCAAGTCAAACTCAGTCTTACTGAGGAAACCATTAGCGAGAGACGTGGGAACAGGTTGCGGCCGACGAAGGAGCCAAATCCGGAGCCTCGAGAGCTGGCGAGACGGAGAGAGAACGAGACTCCGGAGGAAGAGAGGATACTGCAGATTGAAGAGGCAAAACTGGAGGAGGAGAGGAAAGAGCTTCTTCTCCTCCACAAGAGGTTGGACCAGGAGAAGGAGATACTGAGACAGCAGCAGATGAAGCGAGAGGAAGAGGAGAGGCAGAAAGAAAAGGGGGCAGACAGTCGACATCACCTGAATGGTCAACATCACCATCATCTGCAAACAACAACACAGAAACCAGGTAATGCATTTTTGTTTTGTCTTTCTGTTTATCGTTATCTCTTTTTTAAATGTATTTTCCGTAACATGTCAATTTTATCCTAATAGAGACGACAACGTCTACGACTACCACACGAAAGCCCTTGGCTCCAGCGGCCCCCAGACCTCCAGCTCGTCCAAACCACACAAAGAGGAGGATGAGGAAGAATCGCAAACGCATCAGCAAGGCAGCTATGAGAGCGATGCTAATGTAGAACTACAGTACACCCAGGTGAGTTGACAGAACACGAATGAAATTACTCTGAAATGAAAATAATTGAATGAAACCGTGGTGTAAGTTTGTGTCCTGTATCCCCCCCCCTACAGGGACACAGTGTGAACTTGGTGTATTTTGTGGATAATCCAGAGGTGACGCAGAGTGACTCCCTTCATTTAAGTATTTATTCCTTCATTCAGTAACCTGCTCGTCCTGTGAGGTCTCCTCCGTAACACTACTAATGACTGACCGGTCAACCTGTAAGTACACCTGGATGGAGTGAGAGGAAAATGGAATATAAATAAAAGTATTTTTTGAAGAGAACACTCGTCAACGACGACAGTTACCGGTGGCGCCGAGGTCTGAGAAACTGTGTGAACGCACGACACATCTGGACGACTGAAACTGCATCACTGTGGATAAAAGTGCAATTTCAGAACTCTACTTGGAAACATGTCTTGATATCAAAAGAGAGAAACTGCACTTATATATTGACAAAGCTGAGTCTATGCGGGGTTTGAATGACAAAGTTTGTTGGACGTGAAAATGGACAAAACTCTTCAGTGTCACGACAGAATCCATTGTAATGTAAGAGACATTCATTCAGTGGACGGCCGTGACAACAAACGCTGACTGAATTGACCAATATTTCCACGTGTGATACAGCTCACATGTTTCAGACTCAGTGTTGACTACCTTGGGGGGGGGGTGAAGCCGTGTGGATTTACCGTACTAAGGCCTGATATCATTTATTAGCTCATTAAAACAGTGATGGTCTGTCTTTAACCATATTTAATTCTATTTAACTCACTGCAAACACTGGAATTACACAGATGTGATTCGAGGGCAAAAAAACACGAACCGTCGAGTGAGAGTTCCTTTGTTTCCAAATCTCATCACGGGTGGAAAGAAAAAAAAAGATTGAGGTGCTACAGGAACGGGGAGGTGATGGCGTCACACCTGTGGCCTGACTGTGTGCTATGTTTCTTATTTATTTGTCTCGACCATAACTGTGGATTAACTCTGTAGAAACACTGCAGACACATTGTCGTTGATTCACGATGTTTGGGTGTTTCAGTCAGAAACAATGAACGACCTCCCAGTACCACGCAGTGTTGAACCTGTCAAACAAGTGTGTGCATGTGTGTTTTGTACGCCTCAGTGTGTATTGTAGCTACACTTCTGTAACGCACCTCGATACTCATGTAGAAGCATTTTAGAACATCTGTTTCGCTCTTTCTCTCTTTGACAGAGAGACGTCCTTCTTTAGAGAACGGGATGATTTTAAGATCATCTCCGCCACTTTCATCACCGTCATAGACTGTGTAAAGATGGATGACACGACAGATCCACCGAAAGTGAAGCCAGGCCGCTTCGATCGCCATCTAATGGCCGGCTGCAGTGTAGTTTATAAATCCCACCTCCTCCATGTTAGTGGAGGAGACATGAACCATCCAAAAAGTCAAATCAATTTATCTCAAAAATGGTATCTGCGATTTGGGGATTCTTATCATTCATATCCGGGATATTTTGCCTTCATTTATGGATAGTGGGAGGAAGTGGAAATATGTCGTCCATCTCTATTTAGTCTATGATGATCACCATCACTAATCCTCCATCTTGTATTGCGATTCAGTGCACTTACTATTCTTCTTCTTAGAAAGTAGCAAATAGTTTGGAAGAGCATGAGATTAAATTCAATAAGGCGGGTTTTGTGAGGCTTTTGTGTTCAGCTGAATGATGTTGATCATCCCGACAAACTTGCTCTTCTCATTTAGCCATTCGTTAGCATCTGCCTGACCTCAGGAGGAAACCAGGAAGTGCAGAAGTGACTTGAATTCCAGGTTTTGGGACTCATTCCTGCAGCACTCATTCTTTTATAACTCTGAGAGAAAAGAAAACAGCCATCTATAATGTTTTTTTATTAAACTGCTCTTGTAGCTGTTGTATTACTCTAGAACGCACTGTTTTTGAGATTTCATTTCAATCAAACTGAAAGAGTCAGAAAGAGGCCTAATCGATGCAGGTTATTGCCATTTGGTGTCCGATAATCACTATTCAACATTAAGTTATTGAAAAACATGGCTTGTATGTCCTTTGTCAATTTACAACTGTTACTGATTTTGTCTGTTTATTATGAGATATGATGGAACAAAGTCATGTTTGTGATAACTTTGCCATCTAATGCTATTTTCATATGGGTGTAAGAAGCTAATGTGCTTAAATCTACTTGGTTTTGTGTTTTTATATCTTTTAACACTTTTCTTTTTTCTGAAATTCTAAACGTTTCTTCTAAAAGGTCAATATTTTATTATGAAAGGTGAAAAACAGACAATTGAAACAGATTTGAAAACCAAAGGCCAGTTTGTTCTTTCCGCGTCCACAAGATGTAAAATTTTAACGTCTGCAGAGCTTCCTGTGTAGTCGTCAGTGTGAAACCCAAAGTAAAGTGGACGCTCCATTCATTCACCGTATGCACTGTATGTATGTACTTTTTCACGTTGTTCAAATACAAGAAGCAAAGCCGCTCTTCTTGCTGTCAGCAGGTCACCATGATGTTTTTAGTGAGTGTTTCTCATACACCTGACTGTGGTATGAATAGAGTGCAAACCATTAAATGGCTGTAACTGTCTACAGCCATCGTCACAGCAACGTTTCGAGCTAAATTCTCAATCTGCAGCGTATCAATCACACGGTGCCAGCACAGCGTCAGGGGTGAACCTATTGAATATGGGTGTGGATCTGAATTAGGAGGCAGATCCAGGATTGCAAAATTTAGGCAATTTCACCAATTTCCCAGCGACTAAATCATGGATCTAGATATAAAAAGTGAGGTATATTTAGGGGACTGGTGCATGAGTTTGTAAAATTTGGAGCAGCTTTATGGGTCTGTGGGCTGAGTTCTACTCTATTTTATATCTGATAATCAGAAAGCTTATTTTTGAACATCAAGAACATCATGAACTCATTCTTGCCTCGGTAGCTCAGGCAGATTAATTGCCTCGTCCTGTTTGCCGTGTTGTTTCCACTCAGTGCATCTTGGGCTCTCCAGAGACGTCATATTGACTCACCTAACTTCACCGCCTCGTATTGAGTGTTAGATGCTGGTGATGTGCAGTGAGGTTTCTTCAATCTGACAATAGAGACAGAAAAGAAATAGCAATGGGGGGGGGGTGTGTGTGTGTGTCCTGTAGGTGAACTCTAGCACACTCTCTCTGCGGTTTGTTTTTCACATTTACCCACTTGACTCTTGGCTGCAAAAAGCTCCAGCTCAGCAGCCAGCCGCATAGCGATGTCTGCTAATTATCCAGTCAACAAGTCGTCTGCTCTTCTGTCTGAATGGAATCATACGAGGAATGACTTTGAAGCATAATAAATGCTAATGTTTCCACGTTCAAACCATTGTATAGATGAGTCTTTTGGGGCTAAAAAGGCCTTTATCATTGTTTTCGCCAAAAATAACTATGGTTGATTTCGTTTGAATGTATTTGTGCAGCTTCTTCCAATGTCCCTGCAAGTGACTCCTTAAACTCCATGTTTATTCAGGGTTTCATGAATGACTTCCCGTTGTCTTACTGTCAACCTCACACAGACGTCCGACTTCTAAACAGCAGACTATCTCCAAATTCAGCATCGAGGTGGGATCCCTGTTTTTCCGTGGGTGTCCGAGCGGCTCCCCACCCCCCACGGACTTCAAACAAGAATGGGGTAGAGATGCTCGGAGGCTTGTTGACTGTGACAAACACATACACACGCACCGGCATGCTCACGCTCATTCAAACACCCAGGGGTCAACCACCATGACAGTGTGGGAGTGTCTCTGAGGGACCAGAGGCTGTGACTAAAGACACGGGACGGTTCACAGCTGACTGACTGACCTTAAAGACGGATACGGCTTGTTGGGTCTCAACAACACTGTTACCTAACCAGCAACGACCACTGCAGCAATTGAACGTGAACCAAACTCACAGCGAAACCCTGAATCAACCATTAATATTAAATACGTCCACTCAAATTGTGTTACTGGGATTAATCTGATCTTTTCCTTGGGTTCCCATGATCATGAAAGCTGAGGGATGGAGCAGGGATGCAACAGGCAGCTGAGAACTCTTTGGAGGTAATCCTGCAACAGACTTGTGATTTTCCTCCTATGCATCCTGGGCGACAAACTATAAATAAATATGCTTTCTGATAGCTTATACAATGTGTTCCCGGAGAACAAAACTTTCAGATTGTCCTGCCTGGAATACAATTTATAGAGTTGCAGTCCCAAAAGTGCCAGCAATAGTCATGTTAAGAAGGAAAACAGACAGAACCAGAGGAAGTTTCTGACAATTCTTGAGCTGCTCAGTTGTTCGAGAGCTCAACTCACATTTGAAAGTTTAAGGATATAGAGTTGGTGTCAGGGTTGAAGTAAAGCAACAATGTGTGTGTGTGGTGTGTGTGTGTGTGTGTGTGTGTGTGTGTGTGTGTGTGNGTGTGTGTGAGAGTGTGTGAGTGTGTGCAACCAGGCATCTTAACATGTGGTGGACCTCTGGGAAAGTGCATCCATGCAGAACGGGAGCAGGTTTAGTGTTACTTACTTAACTAAAAGCCTGTTTAACTTCTATTCTTTCATTTTAACTAATCTCGATGCTCGGTGGGAGGGAGCCACGCAGCACCCGTCGTTCTTACTCTGTCAAACTGTAAACTTTTAAACATCGATGACAAATTTAAACAGCAAAAAACAAAGAAAGAAACAAAAAAAAAAGCAAAGTTGTGAAGAATCATTTATTTAGACTCATGATGGAGACACCAAGTATAAAATAGTAATAGTAAAATGTAGGCATGTGATGTTTCTACCACTTACCCAGTGAGTCATAAGAAAATATACAGAACTTTAATAGAAACAAAAGGAAATGTCAAAAAGAGGAAAACAACTAAAAAAAGAACAGGTTGATGTTACACTGACAAAAAGCCTGGAATTGCCCCGACAGCCTCAGACAACACGTCTTTGACACGACTGTGTTTCAGTGTGGCCTGGATTCCCTGCTGGACAGTGGTGAGGAAACAGGAGGCCTTTGAACAGGAGGTTACACAAGCATCCGTGTGGCTCCGCACACTCCCTACACCTTCCAGCGCTTTTATTTTCCTGTTTTTATGTACGAGAGCGGACAGGGACACGCTGTACACAGATGACCACACATCCACCCGGATATCAGACACATGCACTAACCCTGCTGTGTCCATCCACACACAACGTTGCCCTTTATACCTGCTACCCTTGTTTTCCTTTTCACTGATCAGGATCGATGTGAATCTGTCTCTTGCTCGCCAAAGCACCGACCTCCTTCACGGGAACAAAAGCTCTCTGACGGTGGCTGTGAAACTGAGGAATGTGTTTATGGAGCTGAACATTTGGACAAACCTGGGAAAACCCACCAAGTCACTTTCCCGTTCCTTAACCATAGTCAAGGCCAAAAAGACAAGCACATAAGCACCTTCGCGGGCATCGTGACTCCGTCGCTGTGAGTCAAACTGCCCCTCAGCCTCATCAGACAGGAAGCTGTACCTAGCGATGGGCTGAGAACATAGGAAGTCAATATCAGCATGCCTGGAATTCCAGCATTGTGTTCTCGCTGCAGAGACAAGAAAGAGTTTTGCGTCACTCTGTCACAATATGCTCACGATATAAACGTTTTACAGTAACTCTGCAGTCTCATATGTGCTTTTACAACAAATACTATGTGTGTCTGTGTGTCTGTGTGTGTGTGTGTGTGTGTGTGTGTGTGTGTGTGTGTGTGTGTGCATCAAATAACTAATTAAAAAAGCAGCACTATCAGAAAGGACACAAACGATCCCTGAGATAAATATATTTGATGCATACATTGACTTTTTAGTTTGGTCCATGTCCTATCAGCCAACATGGAAAAGGCTGAGCTTATGAGCGATGCTGCAGGCAGCCACCAGGGGGACGATTGAGGCACTTTGGCTTCCCTTTTTGGAAAACAGGGATACCATGACGTCACCAAATGCAACAAAGACAACAAGGCTGAAGTCCACAAACACATCAGAAGTCTCCTCAAAGGGTCCAATAGAAAGTCTTTCACATATATTTTCAGTCCCTTGTTAAAATGTTAAATGTGTCTTCGGGCCTCAGCTTGTTGCTGAAAACACAATGATAATGTTGGTGGTAGTAAAAAACACATGTACATTCAGAAACACATTGAAAACAAGGTCCAAACACATCATTGTGCAAACAGGCATATTTTGTACAATCGGCATATATTTAGTTTACATAACTTAGCTTCTTATCTCAGCTGTGACAGAGACGTGACGTTTGAATAAAACACAAACACTTCAACACAGATCTGAACTGTCACTTCACATTAATGAAAAACGGTAAAAATGGTTAAAAAAAAAAATAGAATCTCAAACCCAGTCCCAGTGAAAATGACCTTTAACATTATGAGGTGACTTTGCTATATTATCCTGAACTTGTGTCCATCCCTTAATAACAGGTGTAGCTCAATACTGCCCTCCATTGGTGGGACACTCTGATCTCAGGTCAGAGTAAGACGAGCAGAAATCTCTAAAAAAAAAAAAAACCCTCTGTAATCTGTTATTAATACCTGTGATTCACTTTGTTGCACATGGAAGCACAGGTAGTTTGAAATTGAATTGAACCACAGCTTGATTAATTGTCAATATCTGCAGATTAAAGCCTGACAGCTCCTGCTTCAGGTTCTCTCCTGACATGTTGCAGGTCACGCTGCTCATGTGTGGAAGTTAACCCGAGGCCTGTACGCTGCCACCTTAGGCCATGGGGTGAAAGGGGTGTAGGCCGGAGGTTGGTCCCTGCTGACCCCAGCATGGTGTCTGCCCTCTGTGGGTCCTACCCCATGCTGTTGTGCCCGTGTGTATTTGCGTTGAAAACGCTGTTAGAGACAAGGTCCTGTGTGGACCTGGAGACGCTGCGGTTGGGTAGAGACACGTAACCGCCTCCGTTCATGTTAAAATTCATGGGAGGAGGCGAGTCATCTGATGAGGTGCTGTCTTCTTTCTCGAAGCAGTTGACCACCTCTGGCTCTGATCTCTGTCCGAAAGACAAAGTGCAAGTCAGTAAGAAAATCATTCAGTAACTATATTTGCTAAATTGTTAATTGCTATACTGTAAAAATTTCTTCCTACCGGCACCTCTATAGGTGTGAAATTTAAGCAATATGTTTATTTATTTATCTATTTATTTGTTCATGTCTAAATAATATCTTGTCCTATATTCTAAAACTGTTGTCTCTGCGCATATTTCAATATTTAACCCTCATTGTTCTCTTCTTTTTAAAGCACTTAGTGAAAGTACTATATAAATAAAAGAAATAAATCATCATTATTATTATTATTATTGCATTTTTTATTTAATGCATAAATAACCAAGGTGTCAAATGAGATGGGGAGGTTTTTATTAAGATGGAAATCCTCTCATTCATCTCACAAAACTATAAATACTTGTCATGTATTGAGCAGAATTTCTGCAGATCAACTTTCTGTTTTATGTTGAGTGCTAAAACCTGAGAAATGAGCCTGGTGAGCTGCTGACCTCGCAGAAGATGTAGGGTCCGCTGAAACTTATCTTCTCAGGATTGCTGGACAGGTCGTCGCTGTTCCAGAAACCTTCGTCCGGCTCCAACAGCTTTTCCTTAACTGTGGTGATCGGCACAATAGAAACATACGAGGAGCTGCAGGGAGAGAACGAGCAGAGAGTCAGTGTCTTATCTAATCTCATTTTATCTCATCTCATCTTATCTTATCTCATCTGGTACCATGTAGACGAAGAAGAAGAAGTGTCCTGTAGCACTTTGCAGATGGACAGGTCCTCGGTCTGCAGCGTCCAACTGGTCACACTCTGGATCACAAAAAGTACACAATGACTCACACGTCACCAAGAAATTGAATTCGAGATTAGACCAAAATAGATTCATTAAACTAGAATAATCCAGTCTCACCTTGATCTCACACAGGATGGTACTTTTGTGTGGAGAGGGAACTGACTCCACCCACAGGACGACCCACCTGTTTGTGCAGAATTTAAGTGAGTTTTATTTCAAGTAAAACATTTACACACACGTGTCCTTCAATTTAATGTGCGACTTCAATGCTTTATTTAATGCAATGATCAGTATGGGTGGTTCAACTTCTTTAGACTTACCGGCTTCACATGATTATATTTAACATACAACAACAAAGTTTGTTGGAGAAAGGACACAACACAGACACAGTCCGAACACATGAGCAAAATACCTTCGACAAGCTGGAATGGTGCAGTAGAGTGCGAAGAAGAACGTGACCACAGACAAACTGGTGAGAACATATATCAAGGTGGTGAGGGACCAGGTTCCTGCCAGGGAACAGATCACAGAATAAATGACCGTAATTCAAATTCAATAAATAGGTGAAATAAAACATGTATCTCCGTTTCAGTGGTACCTGCATGTGAGGTCCAGTTTACGGGATCGGTCCATTTAGACGGGATCCCCTTGAATTTGGAACCGTGTCCGGGGACGACCAGTGACCTGACCTTCACCTGGTAGGGCTGGGACGAGGCCAGAGATGCTCCCTGGATGGTGAGGGACGTGCACCCCTCTGAAGTGTTCAGCAGGGTTGAACATTCCTAAAGATTGAATAGATATAAAATCAATTTTAAGTAATGATAAATGATCAATCATGAAATAATTTAAAGAAAAAAAAAACTCTTGAGAAACATTCATTTATTTAACAGTTGTATCTTTAATAATTAAAACAACTGAACACTTACAGTATTATTCTGATCCTGTGTTCTGTGGTAGCAGACCTGATAGGACAGTTTCAGTTTTGAAGCTGAGCTCGGTTCAATCCATTCAAAGATCCAGTTGTTGTTCTTCTCTTTCACTCTTAAGTGCTGTGGCGGTTTGGGACGGACTGTGGACCAAGAGATTAGATCTGGTCATAGGTCAGATTTAGATAAAGGTCACACCTGTAAACTCATAAACTCTGTATCGACTGAGCGGACTGGATGCAGAGGAAATAGTTCAGTGTTTTATGTCTTATCAGCTTTTCTATATATTTTCTTAAATAATGAACATTTTAATAAATGTATATATTTATATATATATTATATTATATATCTATCTATCTTGTCTTATCTTACATGGTGCTAAACAGACCACTGTGATGCAGTGCTGCCATTTCAACAGGAGGTGGCATCACAGCTCTTCTGTGTATGTTATCTCTCCTCTCCTCTGCTCTCCTCTCCTCTCCTCTCCTCTCCTCTCCTCTCCTCTCCTCTCCTCTCCTCCTCTCCCTCCCCTCCTCTCCTGTTCTGTTCTGTTCCCTCTGTCCTGTGTCCACTCACTGTGTTTGTAGGCCTCAAACGTCCTGGCCGTGTGTGTTGGTATGAGCTCCAGCAGCAGACGGTCTTTGACGGTCAGTGAGCAGCTGTACCTCAGTGCTGAGCTGCTGCTCTCAGCGCTGACTGTAAGGTTCATGCAGCATCTCTCAGACCTGCAGGCAGGGATTAAAGTGAGTGAGCGACAGCCTGGACTTTCGGCCTCAACCAGGCGGTGCTGTCGATGTCACACTCAACTTACGGTGCGGTGTCGTGACAGGCCAGCTGGTAGCTAATGAAGGCAGCCAGCTCTCTGCTCACCTCCCAGCTGCACATCGCCTCCCTCTCTCCATGCAGCACACAATCCAAACTGGGAAACTGCCCAGTGTCTGAGGCCAGAGAGAAATGGACCGGGAGGGAAGATTAGAAATGTGAGGGATGGAGATAAGGAGCGGGGTCTGCAAACCTTCTGAGGTTTTTCAGGAATGTCACGCTTGATGTTAATTTGTGCAGATGCAGGAAATGATTTAAAGTTGTGCTTGTTTTCTTTTCTTTGACTCACCTTCCTTAGTCTTCCAGGTCACCACCGGACTCCAGGTGCTCCACTGGCCCACGCTGGCCCGGGCCCTCACCCGGGCTTCATACCTGCAACCGGGGAGCAACAGTTGCTTCTCTAGTTTAAAGCTGGTGTTTGTGACGTTCTTGGTCTGCAGAGAGAGGGAAGAATGATAAATCCTGGATTCAAAATAATGAATTAATTAAGGATTAACTGTCTGGAACTATATGTTTTTAATGTTACTGTTTCCAGCGCTTGTGGTGAAACACTCATTTTACGTCACACATGGTTAGCAACGAGCTAAAAGTGTGGCTACAAATACATTTATTTGTTTTTAGCTCAACTTAAGTCATTTGAGCTCCACACTAGACTGTAAATATAGATGGACAGCACGTCTCCACTTCCTGCCACTATCCAAAAATTAGGCCAAAATAATTGTTCCATGTGTCATCTGCTAACATGGAGGAGGCTGGGTTTATGAGCTATGCTGCAGCTGACCACCAGAAGGAGATTTTAGATGCTTTTGGCTAACAGAGCAACTTTTTATCACGTTTGGCACTTGTCCTGACACCTTGATGTGTGAATACTCAGTAAGAGCTGCTTCTTCTGCTTCTTCACATGCTGCACTTATCGTCACCGCGGCTCAGACTTAACACGAGTATTTGGGTTTGAATAAGTTGAACAAAGTTAGATATGATTATTCTACGGTGGCAGAGAGAGCAACACACTGCAAATGAAGAAAACACACGTAAATCATAAAGAAACACATCTTCATTGGATGTAGTTCAGTGTTTCATGAAGTTACTGACGTCTGCTACACGACTGGTGATGGAAAATTGATCAAAGTGATGAAGTTGTTTTCTTAATTTGTGTTATGTGTTTTTCTTTATTGACAGTGCATTGAGCTCTCTCAGCCACGGTAGCATACACCAGTAACTGCTTTAATTTCTTGTCATGGTGATAAATACAATATCAGGGCTGTTAAAACGTCAGTTGATATTCAGGAAGTACAATCGCTTCACTTCCTGTTGAAAATAGCTCAGGCTAATGTGATTTCAACTTTAATGTTTGACGTTTCACTTGAAGTCAAATATCAGGACACAAAATATAATGTAATTTCAAAACTAAGATGTGTTTTTTTTTAATGCTCACTGTCCAGTGGTTGTGTCTGACTGGTCTGTAGCTGAGCTGGTAGCGGAGATCTTTGCTCCAGGAGGAGGAGGAGGTGTAGGGGCTGGACCAGCTGAACCATCGGCCTCCATCTCCTGGATCGTGTGCAGAAAGATCTGCTGGTGTATGAGCTCTCACTGTACGAACCCAAACACAGAACCACATAAATTCAGCTGAAGCGACGGCACTGCCAGACACTAATGTATTCAAATGGAAGCTTCACATCATAAACAACAGATTATTTTTTTGGCTTTTAAGATTTGATTTCCTCTGTCACACCTCTGACAGGCTGTAAACTCACCGTGCTGAGAAAGATCCAGAGGCTTGTGCGGGACAGATGAACAAACAGTCTGCATCTCGTTCTCGAGGAAAAAGACGGTGTGTTTGATGCCAATGGAAAAAGTTTGAGTTTCATATCTACACTGGCTGGTCCCGTTGTCATCTTGGCCTGGTGGTCTGTGCGGTACACACAACGTCCTGCAAGGACACAGAGCTGAGTCTCTCCCATATCATCACAATGATTCCTTTTCACCATTTGTTCCCTCTGATCGTCTCTTTTGATTTTACCTGTTGTTTTCAGTTTGGAACCAAAGCTGCGGGGACGTGTCTCCGTGTTTCCTCCATCTGCAGTGGACGTAGGACTCGTAGTCGTTATGGCAATGTAAGGAAGTCAGCAGTGGAGACTCTGGGTAGAGAGGGAGATCGTTAGTGTTGAGATAACTGGGTAACGACTGACAAAGTGCTGTGACGTGATAGATTAACACGTTTATTATCTAAATCAAACTTGTTTTCAAAATGTAAATTACAAGTACTTTAAAACTCTACCAACTGCAGTATTTGAGTAAATGTATTATGCTCAGACCATAGACTGTATATAAAGATGAACAACATTACAGCACCGAAAAAGTTAAGCCAAAGTATCTTGATCACCCCCTGATGGCTGGCTGCAGTATTGCTCATAAACCCTGCCTCCTCCATGTTAGTAGATGAGACATCAACCAAACTAAAAAATCTGGATTTAACTGAGCCATTAAGTTTATAATCTGAAGTATTCAAACCCAGAAATGTCAAATTTCACTGGTAACCATTTGAAATTGAATCCCGCAGAGACGTACCCTTCACTGAGCTGCTGCTCTCATGGACGCTGCAATTATATGGACCACTGGGGAGAACCAGAAGAGGAAGCACCGAACACAGCGCAACCCAGAAGAGAGACATCGTTGCTGGGGACACGAGAGCGCTATGAGCCTGTTCTTTTCTGGGCTGGTCTCAGGAGGAGCGAAGTGTGTGCATTTATTTCAAGAAGACATCTGTGGACGAGAGAGGGAGGTAATGTAAACAGAGAGAGAGAGAGAGACAGATAGAGATAGAGATAGACTCGGATCATTGAAGAAATGAGTCATGGCAGCAGAAACAGACTTCTGCTTTGAGAGTTGTGGTCACCACACATCCGCCTACTTCTTATCTTTCTCTCTCATATGTCATTGGCCCTGTTTAAAAAAAAAATACAACCAACACATGTATACACACGCGCACACACACACCCACACACCACACATGCAAATTACCTGAAATAGAAAAAGATGAATTCGTTCACATGTTTTAAGTCTCTGCTTAAATATACAACCACTTACTGGAAGTACAAAACTGATGCCTTTAAACCTCTCAGAGAAAAAGCCTTTTTAAAATTCTGGAGACAAAATGATCTTCACAATAAAACAGCAAGTTTCAAAAGATTGTTGATAAAGAGGAAATCTTTACAGGCAAACTAAACACAGAACTGTGAGAGAGTTCTTTCAGTTTTGAAGTTGTCATGAAGTTTCATGAGCTACGAAATGACTAAAAAATGTGATCTCTTATTTGAGACTGATATCTTTTAAACCCATTTTCTGTGCTAAAATTAAATTCTATTTTTCTGACATTACGTTCATCTAATTTTCCAATTTTTCCATTTTTTATATTTACTTTTAATTGTGATGTTCACCCAAAGCGTATGGGGGAAAAAGGAGAAAGTTTAATTGTCTGATTGATTTAGTGCATTGAGCCAAAAGGGGATTTTCAGGGTCATTCAGGCACAACTGACTCCACTGCTGGCGTTCAGCTGCTGTTTACAGTAGCTGCGGGGAGAACACCACCAGACGAATATCGGAAACCAATGTGAAACTGAAAACAAACCACCACCTTGTCTTCTGGTGCAGCAGATCACAGACAAGAGCAGGTTTGATTGTGATTTGCACAAATATCTGCTCACGTGTTATTGACAGTGAAGACACAAAGAAAACTGTAATTTAAGAAAGAGCACAACGGGTTTCCTTCAGCCTGGTGTCCTGGCTGAACACCTTTGCCCATTGGTTTGTCTGTTTTGAGCAGGATTACGCAAAAGCTGCTGGATTCCCTTTACTCTGAGTAGAAAGATGGGACGTGTACCAATTTGTTCAATCTGGAGTAGAGAAGACCCCCTTCATGTTAATATAAATTATTTAAATATATATTAAATATAAAGAATATATAGGGTCTTTTCTAGGGTATAGAAAACTACAATTCATACAATTTAGATTAAACGAACTAGTGGAAACATCATGAGGATTATTCTACACTTAATTTCTGACAACAGATGCCTTTCAACTAAATCTTTCACACTAAACATTTAAATATTGCAAAATAGGGCGTTTTTTTCTGTAATTGATGTCATATCTGAGTCAAAGGATGTGAATGTCTCAGACTTCTTGATTGACTCAACGCGTTTCATCGTCAGCTCTATGGAACACCACACAGCGCTGTCTGTTTTAAAATCAGTTTCCTGAACTGAAGCGATGAAACAGTTGACTCTCTTGTTACATGATTGTAGAAAAACGTGAAAATATTCTTTCGAATGTGCATTTTTTCATGTTTTTAAGACAATAACAGGCTCAATGATCATATTTTATATTGGAAAAATGATTCCCTTCATAATATATGCAAAATAAATAGCAACGATATGAATTGGATAAACGTAGCGTAGTAAAAATACCTTAACATATCACTGAAATGTGATGGAGACAGTAGCAAGTAAATTACTTCTACCAATTGCAGTATTTGAGTAAATGTATTATGTTCAAATGTCTGGCTTAATATTACAATATGACATTATTAATACAGAACAAAAGAACAGAATCATTTTAAATCACTGTATAACAATGACATGATGACAAACGGTGACATCTACAATATACACACAATCCCAAACGGGTGAACAGGTTTAATTTAAAGAATATAAATATTAACTATATGTAACAACTCTCAGCCCTTGAACACTCATGTGTTGATCAGCCCTGACCCACAAACTCAGTAAATCTCCGTCTTACCAGAACTCTGCTTTAGGTCAATTCGTCGATCTGCCTCCACTACTCCCTTCCCGTCAGCCTGCTCCTCACCACCACTGTCGAGAACTCTGTGGGAGTTTCCTTTGCGACAAGCTCTGTTTCCCCTTTCTGTCCACACTGACACTAGATGTCACTTTATTGCGCCATCAGCGTTTTTTCATCGACCACAGAAGTCTGTCAAAGTCTTTTCACATGGAAATGTGTTACAATACTGACGTGAACACGGAGGCTCAGACACTGGACGGCAGAGCCCTGATTAGCCTGAATGTACTGCAGGCTTCTGAAATAGTTTCAGTAAATATTTTAAAATTACAGAGACTTTATAGAAAGATGTAGCAGTGAATACGGAGCAAAGAGTTTGTGACATGGATGAGCAGAGAGGGACCCAGCATGTTTGATCTCATCATGTATTGACCATTTATGTCGTGGTGTGAACTTATAAATGTTATATTGATTTTGTCTATTTTCTCATTTGAAAACTATTTGTGATGAAGTTTGAAAATGACGTTAAATGTTACGTTTGTTGTTGAAAGTTTTAAATTCTGTTTATCTGTTGGTAAATCATGTTTAATTTTAGAGGAAGGCGTCACTTCAAAGGTCTCAGAGACGGATCCTGGTTTCACAGAGATGCAGGACATTTTCTTCAGATATGATTTCCTCTCTTCAAACTGTCAGTTTCAAGCACCCAATTCTACATCAAGAGCTACTTTGTGAATGAAAATGGGCTTTTACTCCGTTTCCATCAGCCCTTGTCGAAAAGCCGACTCACGTCTTCATTATTTTCACGACTTATTATTTACACCACTGATACTCACACCTCTTTTTGTTTCCTGTAGCTTTGTGACTTTCTGCTGAAACTTAACACTTCGATCTGAGTAAAGTTTAAAATGTTCTGACACTTTCACTGTGTTTTCATTCAAGCAGGTCACATATTTCAAACTTTCAGAGTTATTTTAAGTAATTTATGTACAAATAGAAGTTTGTTTTTTCAAAATAAAATAAAGTTAGCAATTGTGTTAATATAACTTATTAACTTTAAGTTGAACAAATACAATTCATTTGTTTGTAACCATTAAAGTATTTTTATATTATAGTATGTAGTATTTTTCTTCCAGTGTATATTATACTGTGAGAAAACAGAAAGTAGATAGAAGTAGCTCAACATGTTTGTGTTGTTATTTCAATCACTATACAAACAAGTTGTCAGTGTTAGCACTTCACACTGGTCTGGAATAGCATAGCACAGCATCAACAGCAGCTTCTGTCTCCAGAGACAATCAGAAGAAAAAGCATAAAAAAACTTCCCTTGTTTCTCAGAAACAAGAAGGAACTCACCAATCAACTGTCAGCTGATATAAACCTTTAAATAAACTCATGAGCTTCTGTTCTCTTATTTCAGGGGAAAGTTTAAAGCAACACAAACAAATTAAAAATCACTTTGAAACATTTTCTTTAATTTGAAAGGGTTTAGGTTTACACACAGCACAGATTCACATCAGTCAAGTTCAGCTACTCGGTAAATGTACTTGTTTATTTTTTTTGGATAGCTAGTAAATTTACTTTCTATTCCTCACTTTACATACACTGTATATAAATAATACATATCTGTACTTTCTACTGAATTTCATTTTTACAAACCAATGTGTTTCATGTTCACATTGTTTTTTTCAAAGTAGTTTTTTGTAAGTAATATATGATTGGAGCAGAATTTGCCAGAAAAGTACATTACAGCTTATTTGTCAGAGAAATCCGAGGCTGTTAAGATTGTTTACTGACATAATAGTTTAAGCATTGCTTTTAAATTTCAACTGTTCATCTTAAATTCTCTATTCAAAAGGATTTGGCGCCCCCCCCCCCCTCAACTGTTGTCCAAGTTTGTTTCTAAATCATTTGTCATCTGCATGAAAAGTTTTTCATGCATTTGTGATCATTACAGGTTCAAATTAGAATTTTGCAGTTTTGAACTAGTACGTGTTTGTGTGTTTGTATGTTTGTATGTACATGTGACTGATTCACATACATGCACACGTTCGGATCTCGGAGCGTAATGTGCAAGAGGCTGTTTTTCAAGTGGAATTCTGCGTTTCCCCTCAGCGAGAGGAATCTCATTTGCGAGAGTGGCAGAGTGATTCCCACAGACAAGACAAGTCATAAGAAACGACTGTAGCCGGTGTCTGGAAAAATTATTGGTTTGGGAGGGATTTTTATTCTCAGGTTAAATCAAACACACTCAGCTGTGTTTCTGGGATAGGGGGAAAAAAAAACAAACCCCCAATTAAAACAATAAGATTTTAATTACTCTGTGAAAAAAAAAAATCAGTGCTAATGGTATTTATACACAGTTTGATCCGAACGATTGGACCAGTTGTTGTTGACTAATGGTGCAGCGCTCACCACCGCGCAGCCGTCATCCTGCTGCTTCACAATGAAATACTCTCCGAGGCTAATGAGAATGTAATGTAAATTAATGAGATCAATAGTGAGTGCGTGAGGGGTGGGGGTAGTGGGGGGGGTGGTGGTGGAGAAAATTAAGAGAGAGTCAATTACTGGTCTGTTTATTAAGAGAGGTATACAAGTCCAATAAGAATACATTATAGTAATTATAAAGTAGTATATGTGGTTTAATCTGGGCAGAGTGCTGTGAGCTGATAAACAGCCAGAGGAGGCATTTCTGTCTCATTCATTCATCACACACACACACACACACACACACACGGTTATTACTGTCACAGCAATGCAACATCCCATTACTACTTGTTTCCCAATATTACTTCGGAACAGACCAAATCAAAAGTGAAGCCAGAAATCAAGTCAGTGCATGAAACAGCCTTTGTTTCAATGCAGCATGATGTGAGCGATGCAGTCACCTCCCTGATACTTCTCAGTTTCTCCTCCAGATGAGAGTCGTTTCGACGCAGAGAGGTTTTTACCAGGGTAAATCATTTCTTGCAGTGCGCTCACTTCCTGGTTTTGTAGCCAGAAGTGGTGCTCGTGCAGGACCGGCAGCCTCCGCCTGGTCAGGCCTGTTAAATCTGCAGCTCTGGAGGAGACAGAAATGCAGCAGCGTTTGAGGCGGGAGAGCTGCGCATGTATTTTTCTCTCTCTCTCCCTCTTTCTCTCTCTCGCTGCCTATCCCTCATGCACCCCATTTATTTTACAAACACAAAATCCATGCACACACAATATATATCCACACACACACACACAAAGTGATTTTCCTTGGAGTCTCACAGGGGTGATTCCCTTGGTGTGGCACATTAGTATGTGGAAAGCAACACATTACAGGCGAGCCTTGAGGCCTTTTACAGTTTGCTCTCTCCAGCTCTGTATTTTTTCTCATGAACAGGGACTGCCACTGACATTAATGTGTCTAAACAGCTGAGTAAAGCTGTTTTTTTTCTTTCTCTTTTCATTTTCTCTGTTTGTAAGGGAGACACAAGGACGTGGGATTAAGCTCTGCATTGGCAAGCCTCCATTCTGCTGGAGTGTCCTTGCCTTGACAGCAATCGTTTCCTCATCCGCTCCACACACGTCGACAGCGGCGGATCCAAACCTCTGACTCTGAATACAAAAAGAGGTTTTTAGATGCATCACATCTGTATTATCGTGGCTGCTTTAAAGAGCCTCAGGTCCAACGAAGATAGATTTGATCTCTAATCTGAGGCCACTGCCTTTTTTTCCCCCTAGTATGTCCAGGAGGTATTTTTTCAGTAAGAGGTTTATTTACTGTTCATCACCAACAGGGCCGTGTACATATGCACAAAGTAAATACACCAGAAACTGCACACATTTCTTCAACTTACCAAATGAACTGCAAACATCAAATAACCAACCTAACCCCAACCTCAAAGAAACACAACATCACAGAGAGGTCATAGAATGACAAGAACCTGCTAAACAACCATAAAGAGAGAAGAGAAGGGATGCAAGATGTGCACAAAGACACAAAATCACAACTAAAACAAAGTGAGAGAATATATTATATATATTGTTAATAATATATATGATCATTTAATTCTTATTTACTTATTTTTTAAATTGAAATGGGGAGATATGAATCCATAAGAACCCACAGTAGCACTATTGTTAAAGTATTTACTATATTATATATGTTTTAATTTTTAAAACAGATTAAATTGTATGTTTCTAAAGGAATCGTAGAACAAACACTTAGCTGGAGGTAAAATAACGAATGTTTTCCCAAGACTACGGTGCTGCGGAGAAAACCTGCACATCTGGATCCTTGAAGCACATTTACAAACAAACAAAGGGTGAAGTTAGATACGTTAAGTGTTGCTGCTTATTCAAATCGAGAACATTATTCCACATCACATCTGGGAGAATCTTCGGTGTGTATTCGTGTGTGTGTTGTTCTATTTGTTGCATTTTTGGATATGGAGCGTGTTTACGTTCTTGTATGTGCTTTGTGCACCACAGAGAAAAGGCTCCAATGGGACGCAAAACACTTTCAAACACAAAGCAACAACAAAGAGACACAGAACTCTGCAGAGAAAGACAAGATGAGCAGAATAATGTACAAAACGAGGACTAAGAGAAACACAACAACATCAAAAAGATGACAAAGACGCACAAAACTCTGTTAAGAGATGACAAAGGACCACAGAGACAACCATCATTGTGAGTCTCTTTCAGTGCTGTACATGTCACATGTGACCCCACACTTTCTGAATGGCTCATAACAGATCAACGGATTTGCACAACACCATCATCCTCCATTCAGTCTTTTCTTTCTTCCCTCTTCTCTTTGCCATCCTTTCATCCCTGAGTGAATCCAGCCAGAGGACAACCTCTCTCTCCACGTCTTCTCACCCTGTCTGAGTTCATGATACATTGATAAATTATTCTTAATATATAAATGATTTATTTGTTTTAAGGTTCAATCAATCAATCACATTTTATTTGTATAGCCCATATTCACGAAGCCCAATTTGTCTCGTGGGGCTGAACAAGGTGCGACATCCTCTGTTCTTAACCCTCAACATATTGTGTATCTAAGAAATCTAGTTAATTATGTTATTATGATCCATGATTACACGGTGCACGATCACAATCCACTAATATGTTGTAATCACATATT